TGGCTCCCTGCCGTCTCCGTTCCTCCTTCGTCCTTCCGTTTTCTCTCTTGTTTCTCTTCTTTGTCTTTCGATCACAGACTTTACCTTCCACAATGATATGTGATTGCGCACATATGATGCGGTATTACACCGCGCACAATTAATTAACGTTATTTGTAATAAGCGAATTGTGGACTTAATTCCTATTTATATAATTCGAGTTATTCTGTCATCTAATACCAAGAAAATTGAATCCTGAAATTTGAGGTGTTATTTCACGTAAAACTAGATAAAACTAGATGGAGTTTTTTTTTTGTTGCCACATATTTGCAGAAAATTAGAAGATTGATCTCTTGTGTGCATTTCTCGTTCTTCGCAATGTATACATTGCGTTTTACACAACGTTTTACACAATGTATACATAATTTCCCGTATAATGCGGTTTAATTAATAAAATTTTATTTAAAAAATTTATACAAAATGACGATATTCTCTGTGTTATATTGTTCTACATGTTCCAAAGGATATCATTCTTAATAATCATGAGAGCTTTTGAAAGGGTTTGCGTTCTTCTTTTTTCATTCTCCCTCGGCTCTTCCAACTCGTCTCGTTTCGTCTCGCCTCTCGTACGTCGTATCGTCAGTTTGACATCGTTGTATAACAGGATCTCACGCCGAGTACTGAGCCGGTTAACTCGCTGCAACCCAATCCACTCTCTCTTGTTTCATTCTCGAGCCTTCTCGCTCTTCTTACCCTTCTCATTTTCCTCTTTCTTCACAACATTGCTTGCGTCTGCTTGGAGAATCAGCCGCGTGTTTTTATGCGTATGCATCTCGACATTGCGATTTCATTATTTATGTATGGAACTTGATCTTGATTGATCGATGAAAAAAATCGATAATGTCCATTTTACTAAAAGCGATCATAACAAATGCGTAAATAGTAGATTGTCTTGCTTCTTCCGTCGTTTCTTTCGAACGATTATTGTTCATCACACAGATTATGCGTCTTTTCCGGAATGATTACCGAAAGCGAATCGTGCAAATTCGCCGTCAGCGTCAAGCATCGAGTCGTGTCGAGGGAAAAGGGTAGGCGCAGCACTCGACGCACAGCGCAAACACGCAGGGAGGCTGCCTGTCGTCGGACCCCGCGCTCGATCCCGGCGATGAATTATTCAGGGTGTCTTGATCCGGTCGGCCGACCGACAGACGGATTCCGGTCCGCTCGATCGCCGTGATGCTCCGCGATTTTTTCCCTGCCGGATCTCCCTTCTTGCGAGTGGCCAGATTAAGATCGCAACGATCGGCTGTCAGCTGCGACGATGTCGGCTCGCCGGCGATCGCACGGCTCCCGGGATCGTCTCGTGCGCCATGTACGGCAGTCGTCGCCTCGTCGCTTCTTCATTCATGCGCGGCTCCGTCGATCGACGTCGATCCACCGTGTAGACAGGTAGAGACACTTGGAGTCAAAGTCCGGTTAAACTTGACCGCGATGCATAACCATATGCAGGTCGCGTTCAAGCCGCAAATGTTGCTGACGTGCGCACGATATACTCAAGATCATATTCTGAAATTGTAAAGTTGATTGTTAATCATAGAATGACAGTTATAACACTTGTATCGTGAAGAGCGTATGTATTATGCAATTGTTATAAAATAATGAAAAGCAGTTGTTACTATTTTTTATTATGAAATCGAGCATTTATTGTTACTTAATTGTCGAAATAATTCTTGCAAGAATTGTTTTGGAAATAGACATATTTATTTTACGAACCTGTACGAGACATCAAAGAATTATACCGAGTCAGTGAGTTCATAAGTAATATCGCTTTATCAGTCACAACGTAGATGTGACTTGCAAAAATCGGTATCGCGCGATCTCGTAACGAGCGATTAAAAGGTTTACCGAGTCGTGAGCGAGGACGCTAATGGTGCGTTGTACGCGACGGGTGATGCTAATTCCCGATTATCTCTGAGATGATGATTTTCACGCTTGTAATTGGCGAGACGAGCCTTTTGACCGTGAAGCCGAGCACACACAGTAGTTCCATGCGAGGATTAACGTTAACAAAGTCCGAGGCGTACATCGTCGACTTAACTCGCGCGGCTTAAACGAGCCGATTCGTCGCGCTATACACCTGACTTCGTCTACAGGGTGTCTGTTCTGTAAAAACTTCTTTATATTTTTTGGCATCGTCTTTGACAGAAACGCGATACGTTATCTTCAGTATAATTTTTTTTATTGAAAATTTGTGAAATATAAGTTTGATATTAGTCACATGTTGTCGCACTAAAATGCGTAGTGTAATTTTGTTATTTAATTTTGAAATATGTTCTTATAAAAATGAAAGATGTCAATAATTGATATTAACATATTTCCGTATATTTGTTTTATTTTCTCATATTTTTTTAATTTTATGATATAGTAAGCTTTTTTGGTTCTCTCGTCAATTGTAACTGCAGTGGCACTTCATAAATTTTCACCATTTTCGAGTTACTCGTTCGCAAGACTTCCGTTATGAACTTGTCGGAATTGCATGATTTTCGAAAGCGACGTGAACACGACGGGTAATACTCGATCATGCTGCATCGTGCTCGACGTGGGTGGGAGTTTTTCGGCCGTCACTGCGGATCATCGAGCGCGATCATTTCGCGTACGCGAAACCGAATGACGATCGATCGGCGTGGAATGACGCGCGTCACCTTTTTCGAAGTGCTCGTTGGTCCGTCATCGTTCGTGACGTAGAAACCCGCAGCTGCTCGTCGTCGCTCGTTTATTTGACGGGTTCGAAATACACGGAATTAACGCTTCGGCATTACCGCGCTTAATCTTTCAATCTTTCGAACAATGCGATGATTTGTAAACATTGCTCATTTATTTAGAAAGCAGTCGATATTTAAGAAAAAGCTGTGAATTCTTTTAAATCTAAAGTCTTTGCACTATAATTGTTGAACAATTGAAGTGTTCTAAAAGCGTACAATTTAATAATTTTCTACTTTTGATATTTGAAAAAGTGAATGCGGAGAGAAAGTTGTATGATTTTTATACGATAAAATATGCTTACATACAAGCTGCTTTGAAATATTTAAAACTAATTTTTTTCATCTTGAGAAATTATATTTCGTTTCTTTATTATTGCCGAACACCCGTTAGATGTCTACGTCCGTGGGCATGCAAAGGTTGGCGGCTTCCCCTCACGCGCATCTTTTGAGGTTCTTTTCGCCGCCTAATTGTATTGGGTGTCTTAATCAGCGTGTAAGCTACTAAAGCCAGAAGGCCAAAAGTGAACGAGAAAGCGAAGAGAAGGGGCACACCTCCGCACCGGTGGGCCACCGTTCTGCATCTCAAAGGCGCAATTTAAAAAGTATGTTAAGTCGCTGCCATTATGCTCGATGTACTTATCCACCCCAGGATCCCGTCAGACATGAATTTAGATTATGACCCAGAACATTGTACGCGTTTCCCCTTTTCTCTCTTGTAAGATTCGAATGGAATCTGGAAGCCTCTTTTGGCATATCTCGACCTCGCTTTCTCAAAAGACAAAGAAAAGCTTCGCACTCTAAGTGCCATAAACCAGAATAATACTGAACGGTAAAGTTCTTATATATTTCTCTTGAAATATTGTATCATTTATATATTATTAATTTTGAGTAAAAATTCTGTAAATAGAATTTCCACTGACTATATATTTAATTTAAAAATTAATAATGATAAAATAAACTTTTTTACATATAATTAATAATAGTATAAAATTAGAGAATTTTTTTTGAATATTTGATAATTTATGTCCACAATATTTAACAAAAAACCTTATTCTATTTTATATAAATTTTTAAAACTTTTTCTTGTGTTACTTATCTGTGCATTTTAATTATGGATCGTCGGTAATCCAAAATATTGTAATTTTTAACAATGAATATGCACGAAATTAAAATCCAATGAAACTTTTATCATCTGATATTTATATGTCGGTTCGTCCGAATATGAATTTCGATGGGCGGAGAAGGACATGATTTTAGACGATAGTACAAGGGGTTAAAGGGGGGGTCGACAGTCCGGCACGTGCTGAATGTATACTAAAAAGCAATAAACTCATTCGGGAACTTATCTCGTAACGACAGCGCAGTAATATCTATATGGGATCATAATAAAGCCACCTACGTTCGCGGGAGGCAAAACGACGAGGGCCTTTGAGGGCATATTGGTGCTCCATCTTTTGATCCTGCTCACTAATTCGCTTCGTGTATTTAGGGATCTACGAGTCGCACGAGTGCGACGCGTAATTGAATCGAGCGAGCGGGCCGCTTTATGAACTTAACGACGGATAATTGAAAACTATAAATTTCAATAATGTTAAACGTTAAGTAAATAATTAGATAGACACAATTATACGATTATAAATATAAATTTATTAAGTCAATATTGTGTTATCAATCCAATTTTATCGAAATCGATGTTCTACGATTTAAAAAGCAACTAACTCGTGTTTGCGGATTAATGCATGATATGTCAACATCTTTTGTATTGAAGTTAATGCAAATGCGAAATAACTTTGATCTCGTTCTCAATTTTATAACACTAATACCTTGATGTACATCCGTCACTCCTTTTTTCAATCTCACTGCACGACTTTTTCTATACGTATTCTTACTGTTTATTGATGATTATCATTAATATTAATCACCGAGTCATGCGAGAATGTAATAAATAATAATAACTCAATTATACATTGTGATACCTTACTTCGTCAAATCACGAATATATCGCGAAGCCTTATTAAAGACTGTATTAATTGAAAATAACATCAGAGCGAAGGACTTCTCGGGATTTTCAGGCTTCTATAAGAGATCTCGATTTGCTCCGCAACTCACCGCCAATTCGCGGCGTCTGCGTCAGCCTGAAAGTGTCGTCGGGTGCCTTCCGCCGTGCATGATGAACTCTTGATAATTCATGATAATTCTGTGTCTCCTTCTTTTGATGATGACGATGACTGATGACCACTGTTATATGGGTGATTCTAGTGGGGCCTGTGTTCGGGGGCCGATGCGGCGCGGAGGCGCTCGGTCTGGGGCTGGGGCTGCCGCCGGGCCCGGCCTACAGGTTCGCTCTGCCCCCGGGACTCGCTGCCAAGACCACCCGCTGCCTTGTATTCGACCAAGGTAGGCCTACCAGCCATCTTCATTGCCGCGACTCTTTGACTCTTTCGGTGCTACGCGCGCTCGCGTTTGTTTCACGAGCTCTCTTCTCAATCACGAAATTAGACTCGCCAAGGAAATTGGCACAAGCTTTTCTAGAACCGAAAGAGTTAACGATGACTATTTTTTTTATATGCAAATACAGTTATTTATGTAATTAAATTTTACATCTTTATGCGCAAATGCATAAGATGTCAATTGCGTGGGCGTAAATTGTGTGAAACTCTTTCATGTTGCTTCAATGTTGTTTCAATTCGAATGAGAAAAAAATCAGCACAGCCGAATTAATTCGAAGTGAAAACTTATTTTCGACTTATGACCGCGGCCAAATATTCCCGAGCGAGGACGGACCAATGAAAGCATAATTAACGTGAAGGACGACCTGCTCTCGCCAATAATCAGATCCGAAATGCATAATTAATTTTCGTTAAATAGCATCTAGTTGCATCGGTAATTTTCGGCGAATCGCGTAATGAAAAAATAATAATAACAGGTAATTTGATCGAAACAATTTCGATAAGAGTAATTTTAATTTAATTATATTGATTACAATTTAGTTCAATTCATCACAATCATTAAAATTTACGAGGTTATTTCAACTGAATTATTTTGATTAAATTAACGTTACTTTATTTGTAGTCATTATGCGCATAGGCGGTTGTATGTCTGAAAAAATCAACGAAATTGATCCATATTTGTTAAGAAAAAGTCTGAAATTTTTTAACGTTTTGTTTACAACATAAAGGTTTTTTACTTTTTATTTCTTGTTTTGATATGTAACAAGAGATATTTAAAATAACGCAAATTAAATTTTCTAAATTTAGTTTTGCAAAACATCGGACATTAATTTATATTTACTTCGAAACTTATGATACTTCTGAGCCAGACTTTTCACACAGGCTGTTTATATCGCGATTTTGTCACATCCCGTCACCGTGTCCGGTATCGTATCACTGCATCGGTGCAACCGTGTGCACTGGCGCATCAGGTGCGCCGGCAGGCAGCTGGCGAAAGGCCCGACGGCGACGGGCACATTACGGCGGGTCTTAGGAGATTTGTGGACAGGAAGATGAGCATAGCTCGTAGGCTTAGCTCGTGCAAACGTACAAGTCGATCTGGTAGCTGGATTTGCGGGATCGATGGACCGTCGCGTCGGCCAGCCGGCTGGCCATGCCGAATTCGTGAGAACGAACAGACTACAGATCGATAACTTGACCCGTCGCGGCAACGCGGCCCTCGACTTAAGCCCGAAATCGATCGGAATCAGTATCTACCTTAGTCGGTCCCTGATTTCACCCTGTTAATTGGCCGGCTTTACGTCCCCTCAAGATTAATGACTTTCATAAGACGAATGCATCGATATCTGACGCTTTAAGCTAGTGAGTTTCACTTGCATCAAATTTTTCAAACGAACAGGCGAAATGTTACACATAGTGTCGTGCGCGTAAAAACAAATTTTATCTTATATTCTATTTTGTTTAGGTGATAATGATGAATATTATTTAGAACAATAAAAAGTAATAATATATCGATAACAAAAAGAATAAAGTAAATTTGAATAGAAATTTTTTAGCCACAAAAGAAATTAATTATTGCGTGAAGGAACGTATGCATCCGCTCTTATATGTATACATGCAACGTCAAAATTGCGTGGCCATTTATAGCCATTGCAATAGTGCAATCGAGATACCATCGGAAGTGGAAAACAATAGCTAACGGTAACGATTAACGTAATAGTGACATATTCGGAATATCGAAGGGCACATGCATCCCAGATTTTTTATTCCCGCACATGTGACACACATTCGACGGTAATTCTCAGTTTTATTGCCGTGAAAAATATCTGCTTGCTGTTAGCGTATTCGTTAAAACTTGACAGATGTGCATTAATTTCGGCGCGATTCCAATCATTTCTAAAATACCTTGTTTAGAATTTTACATAATAATACTAAATTACTGATTAACATTTCAATATCGCGTTACTTTTATTATTATTATTATAGTATTTTCATTATTCCTATTTTTAAATAATTTTGATTCAATTTTTTGATAATATTTTAGATGACTTTCTTAAAACCAGACAAATTTAGATAAACTAATTTTTTGAAGCTAGTAAAGTTATAAAAAAAATATTGTATAAAATATATTGTCACTATTTTTATAAGAATTTTTCCCTAAAATTTTTTAGAACAAGTTATCTTTGTTATTGGAAAAATACGTCTTGTTGTTATCCAAATTTTTTCTCAGCATTTTGGTTTCACCATAATACATTGTGTTTTACGTCGCTCTTATTTTTTTGACTCGATTGCCAATTAAATCACTTTGTAGCGCATGTTCTGTCACGAAGGGACAAGAGTGTAGCAATATTTTAAGGCCTCTCTTACGAGTGGCAGTTTAGTCAAGCAATATATAAATTTTAACGGCGACCATTATTGTTTCTTAATACCTCCAGTATTACTGGACCAGTTTTGGTGGGAAGTTAGTGTCTTTCCTAGTACAGCGATGGTCTTCTTCCCGCGGTACTTTTCTCGCTCGTAATTGTTGTGGGCGACCGGTATTCGCGGCTTGTAATCAAATCTCCGCGAACCTGACTTTTAACCCTTAATGGCGGCGTTAATATGTGCCCATATCTTTTCGTATAGCTGTAGGACTTTTTACAAGGCAGCTTTCTTTTCAGAAATGTCTGTAAAAATATCTATTAAATAGAATATGCCGAGAAAAGTATTCAATGTTGGACGTATTCAATGGAGAATTTATAGATATCATAAAAAAATTTTTATTTATATTTTAAATACTAAATTTTTTAATGTACAGAATTGAGAAGAAACCCGTTAATAACATTCCTCAAATTTTTTAGAAGGTAATTCTAAATTTTCGAAAATTGTGGAAAGACGAGCGGTGGGGAGAGGTTTTGGAATATTCAGTACGTAATTACCAATTAAAATATGATACGGCTCACGCGAAAGGATTGTGCTTGAATATGTATTGTTTTCATATATTTACATAGTTGGTAATAATATAATAAAAATTACGAAGTAAAATTTATTGATTGCGTTTTAAAACGTGATTTATATTTGAATTATTTAATACTGTTAATTGCAACGGCAAAACATAAATAATAACATAAAAAAAATATTGATAAAACGTGATACGCGTATACAAATTTTGTGGGACACATCTCGGGATATTTCTTCGGGCCAAATCGCTCTGCGGAAATCCCGCACAGCCGGAGAAACCGTGTGTTACGCCAAGAAAACAGAAACATGAACGTTAGCTAGAATTGCGCGGTTACCTCAACACGTGCATAAATTCATATTTTATCGCGGAATGCATAATGCATCATTTTAGCATATTTTAGACGGTGCTTTTTACACGCTCTTGTGCATATTGTTCGCGCGCTTGAAACTCATTGTCAACTGCGAGTATTCCGTAAACGAATATGATCGCCGTCCACATATTTTCTAATTTTAATTTTAAAATGCGCTAAAGTAAAATATTCAACGTTACTTTTGCACATTTACTGTCGAATTAAAAACTGTTACGCAAATTTGAGCTTGTTCATATTTTCACATGTGGTCTTTATTGTAAAAAGTTTGGTGCATTAATCTTTATTGGTTTAATTTCTCGGAACAAATCTTTAGCGCTGAGAGCTAATGTTTATTTAAAAACATTAATCGCCACGGCAATGTTACACGATGTCGATGATAAATCAAGACACAGAAATTGAAATTGAAATTAGTTAATTGATAATGCCGCGATAAAATATCGACCGAAACATCTCAACTAATTAAATCGGTAATTGAAGACTGTGAGAAAGATTGCGGATGAAGGAAACGGGGACGGCAAGGATCTTCTCGTGGATATTCCCTGGAAGGAAATAAGCTGCTGTTAATTTATCGTAATCGCTCGGTGTGACTAAGTAAGTGAGCGACGCCTCGCAATATTCTTTATTAAAATATCGAGCTACTTCTTCTCGCGTCTGCTCGATTTCATCCCCGAGACGCAACTCATCCCTGAACGTGCATCACCGAGCGAGAAACGATCTTGACGTTATAAGATTACAATACTTGCATTTTACGAGTTTTTTTTTTGTTCATCACTGAAACGCGTTGCGTTATTTTTTATTTGTCATTATTTTCAATAGCATGCGTTGCGTTATTTTCAAACTTTCAAACAAATTTAGAATAAAGTGGCAATTTTTGCCGCATTTAATTTTTTTATTTTATACGCATGGTAATAGCCAATAAATTCTGACTTAAACGGCATCTATTCTACACTATCGTTAAAATCTTTTCGGTGCGCGTTTACTCAGAAAATCAGAGAAAAACGAAAAGTTTTTTCGGTCTCCCTCGACGTCCGAGGGCGGAGGTGACGTTAATTCTCGATGACAGGGGCAAAACGCTTCGCCATCCGGAAGGACACGCGTGACACTGTTTCGATCGATACACGCGTGTACTAGGGATGTGATGGTGGATCCGTAATCGCATCACGAGGCGATATCTCGATTCGTTTAATCGGACGAAGGCGACGACGACAAGCAAGAGCCAAATCGACATCGCGAAAGTTATCCTCCCATCCCCTTGTACTCTCTGTCCTTTGCTACGGATTAATTAGCTCTTTCGTGAGTCAGCGTGATGGATCGTGACGAGAACGTGAAATGACATGACTTTTCTAACTCGACACGAGAGAGATCTGCCGAAAGTGAAATCAGAGCGTACAAATCAGATTTCGATATTTTTTATTTTATCCGACTTTTTGTGTTTGAAATCTCGAACTTTTTAGTTTAGTACAGTACATATTTTATACATGTATATATATATATTTTTTTTTATTTTAGCAGATTGTATTTCTCATTGTATTTGTATAGATTAATTTAATCAAATTGACAATACCTATGAGAAATATCGGGAGAAATAGAAAGCCTAGTGATAAAAGCATTGCCAGACGAATAATCGCGTTTCATA